ACAATTCCCTTTGGAGTCAGGGTTAATTTCAACAGTGACTTCAGCGGAGCCAAGACTTTACCACATGATCCAGCTAAAAAGAGTTATTCTTTTCACTCAGCGATAGAAGTTCAAAGTTTCCTATCCAGCTTCAGGTTTTGGAGACAGCTTAAAAACAGGTGTTCCTCCATTACACTTGGCTATTTCCTTCTGCAACCACTTGACCATATTTATCCCACAAAGCATTAACTGAAACTTAAGCTGCAGACCTGACTGCTTTTCCCTCACTCACACATAGAGGAAGAATCCAGGGGCAGGTGGGTGCCACATCTCTGTCCACAGATCAGATCTATCCTACCACCTACGACCTGGAGTCGACACAGAAAAAGTGCATGCAACGTGTCTGGTGGTTGCATTTTAAACACTAGTAATAACCTCTGGCTTATCTAGAGAGGGGAATAAAGTTATACTTATTTTTGTGTGAACGATTCTTTACAATTACTTTATACTGTAAGAATATGTGTCTAAGAAAGTATATGTGTGTATTGCTAGGTTTTTTAAAGCTGTTAAAAGTTTTACGATTAAGGTCCCAAATCCAGAGTTCACATCACAGCCTGATCACCAGATGAGGCTCTAAGCTTTGATTTTATCACATCTGTGTACATTACCTAGAGCAACAAAGTCTTGGAATCCTGGCTTTTCTACACACAATGATGTAACTCTAATTGGACAAATTTATACCATTGAAAGATGGTATAAATACATGCCTATAGCTGGTTTCCTTATGCCTGTTGTTCGTGCTCACCAGGGAACTTGTCCCATCATAGGTGTTTTAGTAGAGCCACACATCTCTTCATTGCTGCTACAATTTTCAAGCATGGCTGGTTGGCAGTAACTGTCTCATACATACTAGGATCTGGCAGAGAAAGCTGAAAAATGAGACAACTGCTAAAAAAATGATTTAACATTTAAAAATGAGTAATAACCTCATTCTATTTGTGCCAATCATGCGGTTTATGAAATTCTGGGACTGATGATCTTACCAACAGTAGGCTGATTGAAACACCATGGAGCTGGTGCATGGATGGTCTCAGTAAGAAGCCCATGTGCCTGGAATTAATTTCGCTCAGCTGGATGAAGCTTGGGGCACTGAGATAATACTGTTTTACTTCTGGTTTGGGGAGGTAGAAAAGGTTTTTGGGAGAGGACAGTCTTTCAATTTTTGGGTTTGAATTGGTACCTGTAAGGTTCATGAAGATGGTGCATGCAGTCACAACACTGGCCACTCTCAAATGCATGACTTCTTCAGCTTGAGTGGGCTGTGAATATAGCATCGGCTACAAAAACTGGTGATCTCTTCTGAAGATTTTTAGCTCTATATTTACTACAAAGGAAGACAAACTCAGTTGTTTGTGCAATATTACAGTTAAACTTGCCTAGCTGGTATTATTATATAGATATCCAACTGATGAGTCCTACATACACACACACTAACACCCTTGTGTGCAGGATAGAAAACTTACAGGATTGTGATTTTGAAGACTGGGCATGTATAGATGCACTAAGAGCTAAGCATCAAAAGATTTTGACATTTTTTCTCATGACTGCCTACATGACTGCCTGAGTGCAAAACTGGTGATCTCTGCTTTCTTTCACCCAGATTCAGATTCCAGTTTTCTTTCCCTCTCCCACTCATTCAAATCGATTAAGATTTACCTAATCCAAGCAAGAAGACAGTCCCTTCTTCTCAAAAATACTGGTCATGGCTTCCTGCTTTGGAGCTGCCTGCAGTCCTTGAGCCAGCTGGAAGTTTTATGTGTCCAGACAGAAGTGGATGCTACTCCCATGTTTGCCTTTCTCTTTAATGAGTTGTTCACTATATAGGAGGTACAAAGCCCTTTTCTACTGGCCAGGAAAATGCTCAGCCTCAGAGTGAAAACTTTTTATAAGTAATCCTTATTTTACCTAAATGTAAAGAAAACATAATGCTAATCTTCTTCTTGTGCCAAAGGCTGCCCCCATGCCACTGGGCCCTGTCAGTCCTGCCCGCTGCACCTCTGAAAGATTTTGTGATACGGCAGCAAGCCACACAGCATACCTCATAATTTTCCTTACTGGTTGTTATTCTTAATGCACCATAGCTTTTGAATCACAAAGAAAACAGTCACTGTGACAAATACATTTACGCTTTTGTTAGGTAAGGATAGTCCGTCCATAGGAATCTGTGCGAGGGGTTTCAAGATACAACCTTTGTGCCTTCACACATGCAGAAGCCTACAAATCTGTACCATATTTAAAGTGTGTGCATTTTAAATATAGCTATGACTTTATACATACCTCAGATTGCAGGAGGACCAGAGTCCTCAGCTGAGAACTGTCATTTGTTTAGCTCCGTCAGCCAAGATGAAAGAAATGTTAAAATTTACTCTAGGTGTATCCAGACAGAGATGTATTTACTTTATTTTTTGTGCCTATGAATTCCTTTATACACTTTTGTGTATTTTAGATCTATTTCACAGACAAACACTTTGTTTGCATTTGTCTTAAATGGCTTTGGATTAAGGGTGATTTAAATTAAATGAGGTGCACAGCAATTTGTAACATAGGACTGGAACATTCATACAGAGCTGACATCTCCCCTACACTTGTCCAAACCTATAGCAACCTAGCTGTGCTTTCCTACAAAACTATATTCTAGCAAACTCAAACTATCAACTGTAAAAAACTGTAAAAAAGCTCAGAAGAGCCTCAGTACATTTCTTAAAAATGACAGAGCTTTAAAGCCTTTCAAAGAGAAAGCAAAAAAGAGCAGGGAAGAAGGCAACAAGTACCCAGTACCGCACTAAAAAGAAAAGGTTGTCTTAATGTCAAACCAACATCTACTTCTAAGCTTTAGCCACATTCTCATACTCTTATCCTGTCAACACCAGTGGAAATACAGATCAGTGATTACCCAAGGGCACTACCATTTTCCAGCAGAAATAGCTCTTGCATTTATTCAATCTTTTGGAAATAATCCATGGAGTTTGCAAAATTTTACAGTTTACTGCCACCAAGGTCACAGTAACATGGGTTTTCTTTTGCAATCCATCAGGAGAATCAAAAGACAACATATATCATATAGAGAGTATTGCAACATTAACCCCATACAACTGTCCATGGAGATAGCACTTGGTGCTGTTCATTGTGGCTTTATGGCAATGCGCCTTGAGAGTAGCCTTCCAAATCATGCTTGTATGTGAAAGTCATATTGTTTCCAATGAAATAACAGTACATACAGGCTTGGCAGATTCCTGACCTCTACGGTTTTTGACAGACTCCCAAATTTAGGACTAAGAATGTCAGACTGACCCTGTATTTGGCAAGAATAATACACGACCTGGCTTTATCAAACTCTGCCATAAGTCTGATCTCATTTCCATAAAAAAAGTATTAATGTAATATTTGCATTTGTAATCAAACAGAAAATTGAACTGTCCCTAATTTAATTTACTATGTTGGACTTGGAGAATCACTGAGGCTTATACATCATAAAAGAAAAAACTAAATGAAATTGGTGGCACTTGTATATGGCAATATTTCATATCTGTCAGAATACTGCAAATTACATGAGAAAAAAGCATGTAATAAAGTTCTGAGTTCAGTTGTTTGTCCCATACTACTCTTATTGAAAATGCTAAAATTAAGTTGTTGACTCTGCTATTCAAATTAGAAAAAATATCAATGGCTTAATGCTATTATGAATCTAGCAGTATATGGGATAAGACTAAATCTTTAAAAGTTTGCAATGGAGGGTTTAAAGAATCCACATTCTTTTTTTCTCACATTTTCTGACCTCATTTCTGAGTCAGAAGCAGAGAGGGTGGAGTGTAATAATTCTACCCCGGCCATTTGACCAGGCAAGAAGCCCAAGAAAAATGATTTTTCCATATACTAACATTAATAAGTAGTAGAACCCTAAAGTTACTTTTCAAGACTTCAATTATTATTTTGAACTTAACACTGTATAAATTAAATAGTTTCGCAAGGCCCTTGCAGTATGGCTTCTCCTTGTGAATTTCCTTGTGAATTATACTGATTTTGGTTTTTAGGCTACCCAACGTATCATTTTCTTTCACATTTTCTTTATGTGTATTTTTTGATTTTACAGTGAGTGTACAAAATGCTACAGAGTTTCTAGATGGAGATCAGCCAGGTGATGACAACACACACTTTTTGCAGCAAGCTCAACCGAAATGCATGTGACTGGGTTAATGCTGAGATAGATTCATCTTGTTAAGGTTCCTGAGGGTTTGTTCCTCTCCAAACCCTACATGGTACAGCCTCCAAATTAGTGTCCTCCCATGGGGAAAGACTAGTACACAAGTGCTCCTCTCATATTTACAACTCTGCACCAGCAGTAACATTCTGCAGCATGATAGTTCTGACAGCCAATTTAACTGAATCAGCTCCCCCAACAAGTCTTTTATCTGCTGGATTTTTTTTTTTTTTTACTACATTTAACATTTCTGTTACCCTACACTCAGGCTAAATAAGTTATTCTTTAAAAAATCCTACCTTTGTTTCCTACTTCTAGAAATCCACTTCACAGTGACTTTTGAGATCTCAAACGTGCAAAGAGGAGACTATAAGCAAACACCTGATGCTCCAGTGCACAAACTCCAGAGCAAGAAGACTGCTGACCACTATGCCCTGCTTTCCTCAGGGTAAATCCTTTCCAGAACCCTACTTTACTTGATCAACAGCCTCTCTAGCGCACTTTTAATTGCATTTGGACTTACATGTAACAGGAATACATCAATGCTGACATAGGCTTTACCAAAACTTGTATCAGAAAAGAAAGACTCCAAGATAGCAACAAGTATGAATTAGCAATGGACATTTAAACGCTGCACTGCAAATAGAACATCCTATCAGGCCTTTCCAATATAAACGTGATCCAGTGTACTGTACCAGACATTACTGCACATTTTTTAAAATTTCAAATGTAAACCATGAAGAAAATAAAACCGTTTTCTTACTTTCGACGGAACATTTCTGCAAATATGCAGCCAACACTCCAAAGATCGACTGGTGTTGCATAGCTGGACTGAAGCAAAACTTCAGGAGCTCTATACCACAAAGTAACAACCTGTAAAACAAAAATGAACATAAAAGAGAGCATGCTTAGTTACATAAATACAACTTCATAAGTGCAGTGTATACAGCTCCCATTTAGTTTAATCCAAATCATAAATTTCACAAATTAGGGCAAACTGTCTTGGCCAGTGCATAGAAAAGGGCCCTGTAAGGAAAACCTTAGTATAGATAGCTGCAGTGATGATGAGCTGGGAAATTAGACCACTTCATGCCAAGAACAGTCCAGTTCAGGGTACAGCAAAAATACAGTAAGAGAGTCCAGTGTTGGTGTGATATCACTATATCACAGCACACTATGAGAAACACTGACACTTTTGCAACTTACAGGCTTCCAAACACTTTCCAGGGGAGATCTGGATTCTCCTAGAGCAAATGTTAGTCTACTTAAAGTTCTTAAACTTTTGTGGACCCCTTAGATGTAGTCACCAGAGCCAAACTGGAAACAAATAAGCTAAGGAATGACATGGGTTTACCCATAGGACAAATCAGAAACTTGTCTGTCCTATGCCCTTCATAGTCTATGTATTATTTTTTGTTAAAGGAATGGGGTTAGCTCAAGTGTATGGGCCAAGATGGGTGAACATGTCTGACCGTCTCAAAAGTTCTTGCTGAAGAAACAACTTTATTTTTTTTAAAATCAATTTCATATAGATTAAGTCAATCCTCAAAGATGTTCCTTATGAAAGGTATTCAGTGCTGCCCACTGTGGCTTCCTTACCCACTAGAGGTACCTCAAACTCAGTTTTCAACTGAGCAACAGAGCATAGGGATTGCTGGCAGATTCCTGAGCTTTCTAACTGTGTGAGAGTCTCTGCCCATGTGCTGCTGGTTAGACCAGCAGTAACTTCTCTCAGAATTTATTTCCGAATGACACACTCTTTTCCCAGGGACATAAGCCACGTAAAGCGTCTGCTTTTAGGCTGTTCTTCTCCTGGTGGTCATGTTGCAACATCTTGTAGACATCCAGTGGGAATTTTACTGGTACTGCTTCATCAATGTACTTTGATGTGTCCTGCATATTGGACCCACAACAGAGATGGGACAGTTTATCCTTTTGTTTCCCACACGTAGACCAAATACAGACAAAGCTGACTGTATCTTCAGTGTATTTACAGAAGAACCCAAGGACCTTCTTCCGAGTCCTGCCTGATGTATTATGTTGATGGAATATAATCTCAGAGCCATGGGAGTATCCTGCTCCTGAATACAGTTACAATACAGCCATAACAACACATGATCATCAGCTAAATAACAGTATTTTCTTAATGTGTGCTATAATTTAAACCTCTGACTATTAATCTGGGAGCATGGAGGGTCTCAGCAATTATTGCTTCGTTTCTCCTAGAGTCACAAATGTTGGAGATACAGCATTCAGAAGGAGCATGAAAAAAAGCAAAAACACCGAAAAGGAACAAATGTAAAGACAAGAACAACTTTAAAAAGTACGTTAACTAGGATAGCGAGTTCTGAATTTCAAGACCAGTACAAAGAAATGCATAAGAAGAGTGGTTTTTTTTAATGATAACAAAATAATTGTCTTTTAAGCAAAAATAACAATGGAAGTAATCAGCCGAATTTGCTGGTCAAAGACAGCTGAAACAAAAGCAAATAAAACATTTATTACAATCATTACATGCCATGACAGCCTTTGGAACTTCTGAATGGCTATTGAAGGGAGGTTCACGGATATTTGCACAAGTGGTCATATTTGCTAACAGTCCTCTTAAACACTTTGATCTCTATTCATAAAATTTGTCTTTGAAACAGTTCAATAAGACAGTGCAAAGTACTGCACTGGCAAACCAGACTTCCAGGTACCTGTCCACAGAAACAGATTCCTGTGTGGAAGTTGGGCATTATTTAACTTCATTTGTCTTGTTCCTGATTTGGTACCATACAGACCACCGATGCTTTTTCCAAAATATTTCTCCTGATAAAAACCAGGAAAGTTTCTTCAGAGATTCACTCCAGGGAAAGAAGACAAAGGTACAGGAGCTTAGGGATTTTACTGGAGCTGCCCTATCTGAGTCACATGGATTTCCTCCTAAAACACATACATATTTTTCCTGATGCAGATATAGCTCTGAAACTGAACTGCACTTCTAGTCTCTCAGTACATTTGTGGAAAAGCTTACTTAAGTGCTGCTTTGAGAAATTAGATATAACAATTTCAACTCATTATTGTTTGTCAGTGGCTGGGTGCGGCGTCAGAAGTAAGAGCTTTATGATCTCTGATCTGTGGGAATACCACCAAACCTCATGATTCCTGGTTTGAGATCCACATGGCTCTTCTCACACAGAATGAAAGGGTGCTTTACTTTCCCCAGTCCCCTCAGCCCTCCACAGTAAGGCTCTGCACTCTCACAGGCAAAGGATTAGGGGATGCATGGTTGTGTCTGCACAGTCTGAATACTTCTGACAATGTATGCTCCAAACTGCAGTCTGTTTTCCAGGGAAGTTGCTTGTTTCCAGAGAAGACTGTTGCAGCTCGTGGCCAGTCCCCAGGTGCTGGCTCAGGGGGCACAGTGCTGTGTTCAGAAGGCTGCAGAAGCGTGCAACACGTTAGCTGCTTCTCCCACGTGACCACCTACTGGCACAGTTCCCCAGGCGTTTGTACCCTGCAACACCCCATGCACGCACACACAGGGGCCTGGACATTTTACTTCTGAGTAATTTGGAAACTTCAGCCTTTTAAAATATATATATATATTTCCAAAGTCTCACAGTTAAAATTCCAGCAAATGCCTGATTGCCTTATAGTCAAAGAGGAAGTAATCTGTGTTGAGCTGTTTTGTTACAGTTCGTCATGACTCTGTAATTATAAAAGTGACCAAGTAACCTTTGTGGTTTGTAATAAGTAAGTCTGTGCTTCAAAATGTGAACCTGAAAAGAATCAAAATATACTGAATGTCAGTCTGCACACAAGTAATGCTACAGACGAATCCTCTAGTGGTCAGGGTCTTCTGAAAAGCACAGAATGATGCAGATGATGCAGTGGTTTTGACAGAGTTTCACACTCTCTCTTACCATAGAAACCAAGAAAATATTTGTGGACATTCCATTAACATTTGCAGATAAGTTGAAATGAAAATTATTCTGAACACAGGATATGGTGAGACTGAACAACTAGATCATCATTTCCTCTTTAACACAGTTCTGACTTAGAATGAAAAAATGCTTTGCTTAGGTAAGCCACACCACCAGTGAAACAGGCTCTCCCTGAGAGATACAGCACTTGATAAAGAGCTGCTTGATGAAGTCCCATTTTTAGGATGAAGAAACCAACCACCTTCATTGGCACATTCCACTGTGTCTGCCTCTCCTGAAAGTCTGAGAAACATGTCATGTGGCACATGGTGATTTCTGTAGGAAAAGGAGTTCATGCACACATGCTGACAGAGATCCTAAATTCAGCGCAAGACTCCTGAAAACTTGAGAGGTTGTAGGCTTTAGTGACCATGTCACATCTTAGTCCTCCCATCAAATAAGCTTCCCTCCTTTGCCTCCTCCTCACTTCTCCTCACCCTGCCTGGTCTATTTTGCCCCTCTCTTACAACAGCCAGATTCCACCCAGCTGACCCCTGCCTCCTGTCTCCTCTCCCCTGCCTCTGCCTTCATACCCCATGCCAGTGTCCCCCCTGACAGTGTCACTCAACATGACCAATCCACTCTGTTGCTCATGTGTAGACACCCGGGTGGACTCAGCCTGCTGCCCCACCACGTCCCATGTGCTCTGCCTTCCCTCACATTCCCTGTCTGCTTCCTTCACACCCTCAAACTCCCTGAATTTCACACTGTCCCCTCTTTTTCCAACCGCCTCAGAAGGCTCCTGGGTCAGATTAGCTCCTTTTTTTCCTTTAGCTTCTCAGCCCACTCTGCCTGTCCTGAGGATACCGTATGACATTTGTATTTCATAGTCTGATCAACATACAAAAGAGACTGAGAATAATTCATACACTGGAAGGAGTACATACTTAAAGGAGTAACTATGCTCCTTTTCCAGTGCATATTTGTGTTTTCACTACCCAGATAAGATGGGATGATGCGAGATAAAAACGATATCAGTAGCTGCAGATCGCTGGTTCTAACAATTTAAATGTCAATAGATTAAGGCAGCACTTCAGGATGAAAAGAAATGAAATGTACATCTGAGAGGTATTAGAAAGGAAAAGGACATCTGCAAGAGTCTACTGAGACTGTGTCTGACCCCCTAAAGAAGGAAATGTGCTCAGTGAGAAGCAAGGGGACAGCTGCATTTAGAGTCAGAGAAGAACTTTATTTTGAAATACAGCTTTCTCCCTTATTATACATGACAGATTTTGCAATCTGGGATCATCTAGCCCCAGGAGTTTCAATCCTGCAGTTCATGGTACCTGTTCCTGATGAAAAGTCAAATTAGTGGTATCTGCTCACTAGCAAAGTGAACATAAGACCTAGGCATTGTGTCAGTCTCATTTAATTTCCATTTACTTTACAGAGCAGATTTTAGCTTTTGGAAAACTGCTTAAGTTAAATGGATCTCACAATACACAGCCCTTTCCAAATATAGTTGCTGTCTGAATAGCATACAGTTCAGAAAAGACAAACAGAGGTTTAGGGATGGGGTTCAGTAACATAGACACAAAAGACTACATTTTGGTTTGCCACAGACTTTAAGTACAGACCAGCGCTCAGTTGCACAGCTACAGGAACAAAGCAGGGATCAGACTGTAACACAGAGGCTATGTCTGTGCTAGGAAATTAAATGGGAAGGGAAATGTTCCTTTGGCACTGAGACCAACAGGCACAGAGTGGCCTATGTCCATATTATTAAATTCTCAGCCCCTCAAAAAAGGTGCAAAACTGCTTATTGGGAATGATGTCTGGTCCATGCTTAACTGTGCCTAGGAACTGTCTGGGGAAAGGCCGGTTGGCATAACTTAAAACCATGCCAGGAACTATTCTAATAATTTAGCAGTATAGACAATTGAGCTCCAGTACCCATGAACGCTT